CATCACGCGGCGCTTTGTATCAAGCGATTCCTCCTGACTTAGCCAGAGTCCACCTAAAAGGTCTTGTTGAAACAACATTGCACTATGGCTAGGTGAGAAGTGCGAGGCCAGGTAATTAGCTGCTAGCCACCGAAGCGTGAGCCTTTGTTCAAAGGGCACTTGGTCTATATTATATCTACAGTGTGAGCAAGAATTAAAGAAATATGCGAGTGTGCGTTTTTGTAATAATTGTAAAATCAAAATTTGGTTTAACATACTTATATTTGTAATGTCTCAGAGACAAAATAGCACATTTATGCGATTAACACGATTACAAAAGTACATGGCAACAATCTAGAATAGTGACAATACCATACTGAGCATCAATAATACATATCCAGTGGCCATGTATCTCCCTAAGACACACATTTCCATAGACCACAAAATATCACTAACTAGGCATTTTGTTAAAATGAAACTATAACTCATATGGACGAAGTGTTATCAGGAGCTCGAACTCCAGTCAGCCCAGGCCCCACTCTGGCTTTGTGAGAGACCAGTTTTACAGAATCTGGCTAAGTGAGGAAAGGACACTGCAATATCAAGTCAAGACAAAGGAAAATGTATATGCATGGTAATATATAAGTTGCATTGATGAAACAAAAGTGACAAAGTATGAATCTGTTCCATCTTACTTCATATTCATGTGGGTACTGTCCTTGAGATATATGCAATATTAATGAGATGTTTTTGTAAAATTAAACCTCACGCAAAGGTATAGGAGGGAGCAGTTTGTTTTATGTATGTCTCGTGTCTTACATACAAGAAATACACACAAATGTTAATTACACATAAATGTTCGATTCGCTAAAGGTCTACAGGAGAAACTTGCAATAAAATTACATATAACGTTGCAATATATGACCTTTACCACTATCTTCAACATATACCTTTTACGGCAGTTGAACAATCAAAGACTTGTTTGAATGACTAGACAGTTTCCTGTTTAATCCCCTAGGTGTAGAACACTAATTGAATCTCACCACAGCGAGCCAGGCAATCTTGATGAGAGCTCAGGTGAGCAGTGAAGCGACTCTCTGGCTTAATGAGTTCAATGGTGGCAACACCAAATATATTATGTCATGAAACATCAAATTTCAACTCCAATCATGCCTGTTAAAACACACACTAGCCTTTATTATCATAAGACTTTGAAGGTAATAACCCCAATCTCATTACGGTGCTTTTACAAACAGGAAATATTTCATTCTCCAATTAACACCTGTCGCAAACATTTGTGTTCATTAACAGTGTTATGCAACGGGTGTATTCACGAAATCTCATGCTTAACAGTAGATTTGTGTGTTGTCAAAGATGCGAGGTTTGACAAATACTCAAATGAATTTCCTTTTTAATGAAATCACAGTGTAGTAAATTAATGTGACCATTTACAGAATCATGTTACATGTTTCATTTTATATCAAATTAATTTCCATAGAAACCAGGACACAAAGTCACAGATGATTCCACAGACAGGCATACATTTGGAAGATAAGCATAACATAAGCAAGCAAATGATACATATAACTTTGATAGAAATTTCACAGATCTCACTAATTGAGCTTTTTGTTGAAACAAACTATGAGACCAGTTTTACAGAATCTGACTTAGTGAGGAGGACACCGGAGTGAAAAGAGGAGATGTCCAAGCCAACAATGTCACAAGTGGACTCTCATTTGTCCTTTTATGTTAAACATGCATAAATCGATAAATTATAATATTACATGGTATAACATACATGCTGTGTATGTCACAATAATCAATGTCCCTGTGACTTTGTTATTAGAAGTTGGAAGTCGAATGTAATGTCGGACATCAAAAGTGAAAACTCTGTATTTACGTTTATTTAATGATTGTTGTGATATGCCATTCATATGATGAAGTCTCATATGACGCCACATGCTTTGAATTGAATCTTTTATGTATTACAAATTGTGTGGGACCGGTGTTCATATAAAGTGGCAAAATTGTTCAAATTCATTTTTATGAATAATAATAAAAACGTAAACAAAAAAAGCCCCACCCCCTGAATACATGGAGATGTTTGGAGTTGTATGGAGAACTGCAATATAATTACTAAACAAAAAATATTCCCCAGTTGTGAAGGCTCAAAAGTGATATTAGGTATAAATAATCAAACAAGCCCAGTGGACCAAGCCTCACAATCCATGACATACCCCTAAATAAACAACGTGCCTGACTGGCAAACAACGATACCATTTGTGGTTGACATATATATTTCTTTTACTTTGCTCCACAAATTGTTGTATGCACTGCCCATTGTATTTCTTCCAACAAATACAGTAGGGACATCTGTTAAGATTTGAGATGCGTTCACAAGGTGTGTATGCTAATAAATTTAGCAAATCATGAGAAAGAGGGTTTTAATTAGTGACATCCGGACTGTTTCGAAATACAGTAACAGGTTATTCAAGCTTGCATGAAACCAGCAGAAAGTTGGAGAAGCTGCAGATGGGAGGAGCAACCTACATGTGAATTGGATGAACTCATAGTTCACGGGCTATATATATGAACATCCCGATAGGAAAATGCAGTCCATTATCGCACATCAATATACTGGAATTTTTGTGCTATCGTAAATTTGAGATTTTGCATCTACGAAGCCGTCCAGAATGTCTGTCAGCGATATCTCTTTAGAAGACGCTATCAGCTCAGGTAAGTATATTATTGATTACACCATAAGATATCAGTAAGGCAATCCCTGATGATGCAATGTGCTCCTTCAACAGGTACAGTTGTTGAGAAATGTTACACTCAAGACTACCATACCAAATAATGACTATTTAGTATATTGAATCACAATTTGAAAACAAAAGTAACAGACCGACTAATTGGCTGTTCAAACCTTTAATGGATGTCTAAAAAGTTCTCCCTGGGGCTTTAATGTCAGGATAGCAGGTTGAATATACTCCTAATTAACACCGGCTATTTTTCTGTGGGACTGTACAGTGGCCAGAACGGTAAACCAAAGATCTGTATGTCGAATTGATATTTCAAAATATGTCCTATCCCTATTTTGAATCGGAGACAATTACATTATCTTGTATGCTATGTTTGTGTTCCAGGGGTGAATACCAAATAGACACAGACCAAACTAGTACGACAGACTCCTGCCAAGGCAACCAGGTAGTTACGGTGTCTAGCTGCATATTCTTAACATGGTCAAATGCTACTTCTACCATGTATTACTGTACTGCTTACTGTCAGTGAAATCAAACCTCATTCTATCTCAACTAATGATAATCTTAATGTCCTGTGAAATAAAGGGAAACATATATTCTGGCTTCTCTGTCCAGACAACAGCAAACGTGTTCCTTTTTCTATCTGAGTCGATGAAGAAAACTTGTGGAAGGTATGACCAATATCCATTGTTTATTTCATTATCATGGTTCAAAATGTTGTATAAAGAATGCAACTGAATTTTCAGAAATCCGGTCACCAATCACGTCCGCGAGCGACAAGAATGAAAATCAGACAACAGCGAGCAGCGGTGCCGTTCACGTCTACTCCTACGGCAACGGCCTGTGCAAATGCAGCAGCTTCATTCCTGTTATCAGGTACTTTCTCTCCGATGTTTCCAATGGGTGTTCCCTCTGAATGTAGTTCCAGTAATTGTAATATAGCGTGGCTTCTTTGATGGTTATGCGTTTGATGTTTCACGTGTCACAGGCTAATGTTTCTAATTACAGACTGCTTTGAAACTGAAGAAGACGATCATCAGTTTAACCTTGATAAGAGATGCTGTAAGTAGCGTTTATATATAGCAGGATTATACAAATTAGTTACTAATATAACAATATACTTTATCTTATCATCATTTTTACGGGAAGTGCTTGGCTATAAATAGCGAAATAGCGACGTACTTCCAGTCCAACTGTCCTGATATAGAGTTTTGCAAAATATTCCACGTTTTAGAAGATTTACAGTTTTACATGAACTGAAGTATCGTAAAACAAATTTGTAATGCCGAAAAGGTTATTTGTCAAGATTTCAAGAAACAGAAGAAACTCCGTGAAATTCTTAAAGGTCACATGCAACGTAAAATACAACTTTGCAGATTCTGATACCTTTGGAATTACTGAAACAAGTCATCAAAATGCAAATTCAACTCATAAAGTTGGAAAAATGCGATGAAAAAAGCCAGCTAAGTCGGAGTTCAAACGATTCACTAAATTTCCACTAGCGTTGGGGGAACAAGTGCTTTCAACAGCTGCGCTCATAACGCATGCGCAGTGAGCAGGTTCGCGGAGCTTGAAACACGATGCATATCAGGATTATATATATACAAACAAGTAAATAATATCCTCGTTGCATAAACAAAAAACATGTTGATTGTGGTAAGCAAACAAAACTCAATCTGCCTGCCTGTCTGCTCACGACAATATGCAACACACAATTTCAATGTCACTGACAACATGCAATTTGAACTTAACACTATCGGGCTTATTACGCCATAAACAAAACCGGAATGAGTGCATCAGCTAATGAACCAATAAAGCGACCCCGTTACACATGAGTGCAATCACACCCGCTCTGACTGGGTTCGGTATGTTTGATTTTTGGGATGCATGTGAATTTTAACAAAACTTTGCACCAAAACGCAGCTGTTCTCATGCACGATATTTGCACACGATTTTCAGTTATTTGATGCATGATCCTCGTGCAATTCATCTGCATAAGGTTTGCAGTTGGTTCCAAAAGTTGTTGGAGAAATTCATCTTTGATGTAACCATATATTTATATCATACAGTGAGTGCTTTATTTGAGTCTAAACTTTTGGATGGGTAGTATATGACATCAGGACGACAAGGCAGTTCTTCAGCAAATAACTTTGAATTGTACAGTTTCAGAGAAGCAACACACGGAAGATATTCTACAGATAATGGAACGGAGGATGAAGCTGATGGAGGACAAAATGTGGATTGCTATTGGTGCCCTGGAGACGAGATGTCGCAATGAGAGATCGACAGGTATGGTGTAGCGCTAAATCACCGAGTTATAGTTATTTGTTTTCTTTTGCGGCGTTTATACACTTGTACATTATCTGAGTGTATGTTCCACTTGAACGAAGCTTCCCGGAGGCCACCTGTCTATTACTTAAATAATCAACTAATCAACAGAGATCAAGGTAATTACATCCCTACGGCTTACGATCAACCTAATCAAGCCTAATCAAGAATAACCCACCTTTCTCCACTGGCTTCAATCATCTCCTATCACAACAAGCCCCATGTCAACACACTGCACATCAACCTCCTCTACTGTATAAACACATACCCGTCATGTATATAATTCTCCTTGTGCATACATTGTGCATCATTTTTGCTTGATAACGGTGTTAGAATCTACACCGAAACGTCGCATCCACTGCAACAAAGAAGTTGTCATATCCATAAAGTTCTTGATCCTCATCATACCAGCTTCTAAATGCCACTTAAAGAAGTAATCAAGGTGTGAACGTGGGGGGGCAGTTTTGGAAAATGTACTAGTTGTCAAAACAAAGAGTTACTCTGCAAAGAAAGTATGTCATTTTCAGTAATTTCATTTGCAGATTGCAGATATGCAAAAACAACTGGAGAGACTGCAGAGAGGAAGGGATAGTCAAGAACCAGTGACTGGAAACAAACAGAAAGCAACTAACCATGCAAAGGTATTTCTGCTGCCATTTCAGTAACTTTTGGTAATGATTTTTAGACGATTCAGTGTTCTGACACACTTGACTGAGTTAATATTTACTGTCACATCGGCAATATTGCAGCCATATCGTGCCGCTGACACGCAAGTCATATTTATCGGAATGTTGTATTTTTCCCCATAAATCTTTTACAGGCAACTGTGAGGCAGGCACTTCAGAATGCAGAGACTGCTGGAGGGATGGCTCTAAATCCACAATACAAGTATGAATATACTATATATATATATATATACACTAAATTCAAGAGTTTCAATGCATTAAACCGTTCAACAAATACAACTTCAGGTAGAATTACGACAATCTTGACTCTTGAGTGATAACTTTGTCTTCCACAAGACAATAAATTTAGAACTTTAAATTCAGGTTGGAAGCAGAGCAGAACAAGGAAGTTGTGGACTATGCTGGAACTTTTCTTCACAGCACTCCCTGCTATTCCGCGCCCTGAATTTCAAAGGTATTGCAGTTTTGCTATACAGTTCTTAATCAGTTAATGATGCATTTACATGCGTCACTGCACAGCCATAAATAAGCAAGACCCACTATAATGTAATGATAATACTCATTTCTTGACTTTCCGAAAGTGATTTTTTTGTTGCGTAGTACAAAACCTGTTATGTTCATGGGCGATTTTATTTAACCATTGTATTTTTGTGATGACTTCGTTAGATATGTAATATTCATGCGTTTTCTGCCACTGTATTGCATTTTTTGTTCAGTTGCTATGAAAAGATGTCTACAGACAAAGAAGGAAAGGGCCTCAAGACAGAAATGTGGCAGCCGAACAAAGCGGAATGATGACATGAGAAAATACTCCAGAAAATCTACAGTAAGTAAAAATAAAAAAACACAACAAGGTGTCCTAACTGACTTGACTCACTCATCAATTAACATGTTAATTGATGAACCTTAACTGACATGACTCACTCATCACTCAACAAAGGGATTAGGCCTTGTCAATTAGTGAATCTTAACTGAAATGACTCACTTATCAATTAACAAGGGATTATGTATTGTTAAACATTGAGTTTTGTTAGAGGCTGAACATGTCAATAAATATTAACTATTAACTGTGTTCAAATCCACTAAACATGCAACTATCGATATTACTGACCATAAGATTATCAGAATAGCCATTAATTCAATTATCACGTTGGTTTTACACTCACTTTACCTATATGGAAATATAAGTATGAGCATATTGGTTTGTTTTCTTCAGAAGAGTCGTAACAGAGTGAAGGGTATTCGAAAAGCTGACCTCCCAGCCACAAAAGACCAAGTATGAAGAGGCTTTGAAGAATGTTCAACTCATGTCATCGGAAGAAAGTGATATTGACGAAGGTGGCTTCAGATATTTTATTGTTGCGACCGAAGGTCGAGTCACGAGAACTGATGTCAGCAAAGAGGCTTGCTGATGAAACTTTTCAACAGTTGCAAGGTCAAGGGGCCATCCCAAAGGCAAGGCGTGTCCGTGGACCACCGTCCAAAACCAACATCCCAAGAATGATTAATGATCTGTCATGGGTCAACACTGAGTATGGAATGTTTTAGATAAGTGGAGAAAGTTTACGTCGCTTTTAACAATGTTCCAGCAATAATTAATTAAGTTGACGTGTCTGGTGGCTGGTGTATAATATATAGTATAATATATCTTCTATAATATATATATTATATAGGATGAAATAGATCAGATCATTATAATAGCATAAATGACGCTTTAATGTATATATAATGCCATTATAATGATCTGATCTATTTCATCCTAAATAGTTTTTCTTTCATCCAATGTTTTGAAGCTCAAATGATAACATGGAAGTGTTACTATTCCAATCCATTCTTCAAATGGTCCAACAATATAGTCATTATGGTTACCACCGGCCTGCTGTTTAATTACTATCAAGTTGGATGATATATTAAATTATGCGCACAAACCCACACAAAATATCTGTGATTTGTGAATTCTGTTTTGACAAGGAAATATAAGAATCATTATATAAACTATGTTCCTCCCTCTGAGAGGAGCATGACATTATTTATTCATTTTTGATAATTTTATTTGCATAATAATGGGGCTATCAAAAAATTGAAACAAACTCCTGTATACTACCATTGCGCCAATATTGCGATATTGACCATGGAACAATGTTAAAGGTCACATGCAACGTAAAATACAACTTTGCAGATTCTGATACCTTTTGGTATGGAGTTACCGAAACAAATCATAAAAAATGCAAATTCAACTTATAAAGTTGTTAAAAACGCGATTAAAAAAGCCCGCGAAATCGGAGTTCAAACGATTCACTGAATTTCCCCGAAACTGGGGAAAACTGGTTTCAACAGCTGCGCTGCTCTCATAACGCATGCGCAGTGAATAGGTTCGCGGAGCTTGAAATAAGATGCATATATCCTGATTATATGTAGGCCTACACAAAGAAGTAAATAATGTACTCGTTACATAAAATAACATATTGATTGCAAACAAAACTCAATGTCTGTTTCATTAACACCTATATGTCTGCCTGCCTGCCTGTCTGCTAATGACAATATGCAATACACATCTTCAATCACTGACCACATGCAATTTGAACTTAACGCGTATCGGGCCATAAACACAGGTAAATGAGCCAATAAAATCATCTCCGTTACAGTTGAGTGCACGCACACTGGCTCAGACTGGGTTCGGTATCCCGGCTATCACTGACTGCTTCGTTTCGAGAGAAGTAAACCGAAGTATAAAATATTGCACTTTTGATTTGCGATTATGGGCTTATAATTTGTTTATTTGTTTTTCTTAAGCAGCAATGCATTGTATATATCATGAATAAGTGAAAACTGTGTTTTAATTATGTTCGATTTTTGTTGCATGTGACCTTTAAGTTCAGTCGGTTAAAATGCCAGGTTCCTCGTTCACACATACATAGAAACTAAAACCTTATCACAAAACCAAATGCAAGATGTCCCTCGTTTAGAAAGCAAAGCGAATTTTAACAGATCAAGTCATCCTAAGATGGCAAGAAGATAAACGTTCCAGCCCTAAGGGGTTTCTATATTCAATATTTAAAACCCACTGTCTTTTGAAAAATACCTTCTATTTCCAAAATCTATATACATGACCCTATTTTGAAGTTTAGAACCTCAAATTTAAATCTTACAATCGAAACTGGCAGATGGCAGAACATACCGAGAGAAGAAAGATTATGTAGACTATGTAATTGCAACTTAGTTGGTGACGAATTTCATTATCTTTTTAAATGCACGTCACTTAATTCTTACAGAAAATCAAAGCTAAGCAAGCTAAGCAACTATTAGCAAGGTCATATCACCTGTCAATTTTAAACTTAGCAACTGTCTATCACTTTTTATCTCTCATTTGTATAAATTGTAACATAAATAACTCATCATCATGACGCATGTCCATATGTATACACATTTGTAAATATTGTATAGTTAAATGCTCTTGTACCACCGATGGTGGTTTTATGAGAATAAAGAAGTTGAAGTTGTAAGAGGCATATTCGTTGGTTTCACATTAATTTTCGACTCGCTGTGCGCATGCGTAGAGCGTGTAAAAATATCCTCCGGCCATATCCGGTTTGGTCGTATTAGCGATATTGTAAACACGCTCTAAATAAATGCTGTATAAAAATTATTTACGCGTGACAACTGTTCATAGTTGAGTACATACATCAATTTGCCTATGCTTTTCAATATTTGATGTCCTATTTTGGTGGCATTGCATCAGAGATGTGTTTTTTTACTTGTGAGAAGGGGTAGCCGAGAGCCGCATCGCGGCTAGAGAAGGGAATGTGCAGGAAGAACGGTGGACGGGTGGTGGTGAGATGTGTTTATACAAGAGCTTGTTAACAAACGTTAAGCTATTTATTTAACTGATTCCGGTCCCTTCCATTCATAAATGAATTGAGATTAGTTAAATTCGACATAAAACCATATATTTGTTTTGATTTTTGCTTCCTTTAGAGTGCGTTTACACTATCGGTAAAGCTTACGACCAAACCGGATATGGCCTGAGGATATTTTTACACGCTCTGCGCATGCGCACAGAGAGTCTAAAATTAATGTGAAACCAACGAATAAACTGGGAACTGGGTTATCCTTCCAGAGGCTGTTTTAACTGTTCACTTGCTAATTAACAAGACAGCAGGCCTTGTTAATTGGTGAATCTTAACGGCCTTGATAAGGTCGTTGGGCGTACATTTACCATCACCCATCGGTTATCTCCCCTTGTGGACATATAAAAATTGGAAATTAATCAACATACAACCAAGTTGAACCAACTTGTTTATGCTGAAAGATGTACATCGAAATGTATGCAATAATCAGGTATTGTTACCACATACGTGGTATGATGCCTTATGTATCCCCATACTGTTTAATGCAGTATAAGTGAAATCTGCTTCAGTGTGCCAATGACCGATCTATTGAAGTTTTACTTTAGTGAATGCTGCCTAACAAAATGATCTGAGATTAAACGTCTCACTGAAAATTTGTGTAATCTTATCTCAGGTACTAAGAAATACTGAATGTTTACGTAATACATATAAATCTACCGGTACCAGGTTGATGTGTCTGGCCATGAGTAAACTAACAATGTCATAGTGATTATATAATTTTAATTTCACCATTACATGAGTCATTAAAGCCTCATTTATGCCATTATAATGTTCTCTGATCCATTTCATCATAAATAGTAATTATTTCATTCAATGTTTAGAGGCGCAAATGATAACCTGAAAATGTTGCTGTTCAAGTTCATTTTGTAGCGTGATATTATTCAGTGGTCCAACCAGTATAGTCATAAAGGCTACAAACAGCCTGATTTTAATGACTATCAAGTTGTTAATTGGTTAATCTACGGCCTTGATTCGCTCATCAAGTAACGAGGGTCAGGTCTTTCGGCGTACATTTACCATCACCCACCAGTTATCTCTTTCCCTTGTGCACATATCCAATAATTGGAAACGTATGGATATCTCATGTATCCATTTTGGATATGTCTTGAAACATCATCTTTCCAAGATTGGAAATGTCTTGGAAACATCATCTTTCCAAGACATTTCCTGGTTGACAAGCTTGGTAAACATGCATTTTTTGTCATGTGGTCAAAAAATCACGGGAACAGTTAGTTCGCATTAATCTTCCAATCAATTAAACATGTAGTTATTGGAAAAAATGTAAAATCAAATCATGAAATTAAACGGTTTTTAAGAACAGAAGTAAAAAGTAACGAACTTGGCATACACACCTTCCTAATGTTCTTCATGATCGGCCCGCGTTGGCCCAGTCTTCTCTGTAGAAGCAATTTCCTCTTCAGAGTTGTGTCGCTTGAGCTTAACAGAATCATACGGTTGTGGGTTCGTCCGCGGCCTGCATAACTTCTCGTTTTGC